AGTTGAACACGCAGCCCAAACACTTGAATTCTGATTTGATTTTGCATATAGCTTATACATTTCAATTGCACGCAGCTTGTATATCTCATTTGCACGCAGCTTGTTTATCTCATTTGCACGCAGCTTGTTTATCTCATTTGCACGCAGCTTGTTTATCTCATTTGCACGCAGCTTGTTTATCTCATTTGCACGCAGCTTGTTTATCTCATTTGCACGCAGCTTGTTTATCTCATTTGCACGCAGCTTGTTTATCTCATTTGCACGCAGCTTGTTTATCTCATTTGCACGCAGCTTGTTTATCTCATTTGCACGCAGCTTGTTTATCTCATTTGCACGCAGCTTGTTTATCTCATTTGCACGCAGCTTGTTTATCTCATTTGCACGCAGCTTGTTTATCTCATTTGCACGCAGCTTGTTTATCTCATTTGCACGCAGCTTGTTTATCTCATTTGCACGCAGCTTGTTTATCTCATTTGCACGCAGCTTGTTTATCTCATTTGCACGCAGCTTGTTTATCTCATTTGCACGCAGCTTGTTTATCTCATTTGCACGCAGCTTGTTTATCTCATTTGCACGCAGCTTGTTTATCTCATTTGCACGCAGCTTGTTTATCTCATTTGCACGCAGCTTGTTTATCTCATTTGCACGCAGCTTGTTTATCTCATTTGCACGCAGCTTGTTTATCTCATTTGCACGCAGCTTGTTTATCTCATTTGCACGCAGCTTGTTTATCTCATTTGCACGCAGCTTGTTTATCTCATTTGCACGCAGCTTGTTTATCTCATTTGCACGCAGCTTGTTTATCTCATTTGCACGCAGCTTGTTTATCTCATTTGCACGCAGCTTGTTTATCTCATTTGCACGCAGCTTGTTTATCTCATTTGCACGCAGCTTGTTTATCTCATTTGCACGCAGCTTGTTTATCTCATTTGCACGCAGCTTGTTTATCTCATTTGCACGCAGCTTGTTTATCTCATTTGCACGCAGCTTGTTTATTTCATTCTGAAACTGAATATATGTATTCGCTGTGAATGCAGGTGTCTTCCCGTGTTACACGGGGATACGGCTCCATTGTTGCGAGAGATTGGTACGCGGAGCTCCCAGAGGCCATCCGCGATTGGGTTGATCTAGCAGGATTCGGGCCCTTTTGTGCTGGGATATCTCGTTATCCAGCTAGCAGGACGTTGATGGGCGCCCTGGTGGAGAGGTGGTGGGACACCACCAACTCCTTTCATTTCTCATCTGCCGGGGATATGACCATGACCCCTTTTGACTTTGCCGTATTGACCGCCCTTGACGTGGGAGGCTGGGCGATCCCATACGACGAGGACATGGGCCAGTAGGTGGCCACTTGGATTTACTTACTGGGAGCTCGTCCACCGGTCGACTGATCCTCGGGCCGAGTCTGGTACACTTGGTTTTCTTCACATTTTAGGCATACTGAGCCCGAGACTCTGGAGGAGATTACACAGTACGCCCGCGGGTTTCTGATGTTCCTTTTCGAGACCACTCTGTTCTCCGACAGGGGGAACACCGTTGGGCTATATTTGCTGGGTGCCCTGGCAGACCTCACACAGGTTAGTCGGTATGATTGGGGTGGCGCCAGCTTGGCTACCCTTTATTGCTATATGAGCGCGACCTCCCGCGGAAGCCGATTAAATTTTGATTTCGGTGCTTCTTTTCTCATTTTCACCACTTGAGGTAAGTTTGTCTTATAAAGAAAAAGAGAAATGCATGTTTGCAATGTTTTTTTACTTTTAACTCCTAACATTGTGTTTGGATCTTAACAATCTAGAGACCAACTGAACACCACCAAGCCATATTAGGCAGTGGTGTTGTCTAAATTTTTTTTGTAAAATGACATACCGAGTGAATATAACCCAACAATGACACTTCCTCAGCACAGATCATCTTATTATGTTTAGACATAACCTTCACTGGAGTTCAGACCATCACTTGAATTGTTTCAAGAGGAAACTAAATTAGCAAGGAACCAAACCTACTGTCCAGAATTAAGCCAGAACCATCATCATTAAAGAGAAATAAAACAAGAATACTCACAGACTGAAAGCACGAAGGGACCACATAATTTCCTCAACTCACTCGCTCATCAGATACATGTCCTTATGCCATCATCATCACTGTTAAAAACAGCATACGAAGTGAAAAGGGGAAGAGAGGTGGGGTAAAGGAGGGATACTGTCATTGTAGGGATGCAGAACACAAGCTTAACATAGCACCCCTTAAAAAAATTAACTCACTGCAAAAATTTCATAGAACGAAAATGCTCAATAGAACTACTGGAGAATAAACAAAAAGAAATGGTTCCAGTTCCAAAAACCCTTGAAATAACTAATCTCAAATGAAATAATTGATGATCGATTCCAAAAGCATCTAAAGCTTTATGGTTCAGGTAAAATTATTGTGATGCTAGGCTAGGCCACGCACACACTTAATATAACCAAATCTAGTTTGTGCTACATTCACTGTGATAAATTTATATAATATACATTGTAAATTATCAGTGCAACAAAGTAAGGCAAATGCTACGATACCACCAAATATTATTATACTACCAGAAAGACAGATTGTACAAGGAACTACTGAGGATAGTAAGGCAAATGATATTGTGGCGGCAAACCATACCCACCATAGGCAATTGGCCTATCAAAATAACTAGATGGCAGGTGCGATTCAGAAGGGTTGACATGTGGCTGTGTAGGCACCACATTCCCAGGGATACCCAAAGGGGCTCGTGCCGAATCATACAAGCCAGCAGATGAACCTGCATATGGGACAGCAGAAGTTGAACCTGCCAAGCCATACAGCCCAGCCAGTGAGCTTGAGTATGGAGCATGAGGTTCTGGCAACAAACCTGCTGGCTGTAATTGAGATTGCTGAGATGCAAGAACAGTTGAATTGGCAGTAATTCGAGGACGCTTGGTTCCACTCATTTCCTGTTATATACATAAATTTAAATTATAAAATATACAGGAGAAGAAGATAATTTCTACAACAAAGACGTCTGAAAATTAAAAACAAAAGTGCATTATTAGTACCAAGGCTATGAAGCTGGGAATGTTTTTATAGTTTAACTCACCAATCATTATCCCCCTAGCTATATTTTGTATTATTTACTTTGGAGGAGAGGTAGATTTATTTTCCTCTGAATCATGCTTTAGCGTAGCATCCCCTCCCATCAGTTCCTGAAAACCTTCAACCTTCACCGGCGGAGCCCTAACAGAGCCCATGCTCCTGCATCAATCAATCAAAACCACAAAATTTTCTCCCAATTCCATCAACTAATTTAAAATCCATTATAACAAGCATGTAGGCCTTACGGTGTCTGGACTTGAGGAATTTGAAGGGAAGCCAATTGTCTAAATTGATTGCTGGCTTCAGGATGAAAATTTGACATTGCAGCAATTTGCTGTTGGCGGAACTGCAGTTGGGGATGATGTCTGGCATTGATTGCACATTATCATGCACATAAAGATGCCAAACATGCATAACATACCCAAAATAGCACAAAGATGTGAAACATGCATAACATACCCCAAATAGCACAACATTGATTCCAATTTTCCACACACAAAAATCGTATATATCTAAATAAAGTAACATAGTTCACTATTTGATACTAGATTTGGTCAAATTTAAACCAGACCAAGCCTGCCTAGAACAGAATTCAACGTCAACCCATGCTGAATTCAAACAAATTGCTTCCCATATATACTGCATAAATAATTTTTTTCCACCAATATCCTACTTCAGAGTTCATTTCTACTTTATCAGAAATTCAAAGCCAATAGTCTACTAAACAAACGTAAATAAAAAAACCAATCAAATTCAAGCTTATTTTAAGTGATTCTAACTTTCTTTTTTTTGGCTGTAATATGAACTGTTATGCGAGACATTGTTATTATTCCCCAAGAAAACCTTTCACCATTTAACACTAAACATTAAACTTAAACTAGGACATATACAAGAGAAGACAACTACAACGAAAAGGTTCAGCCAACCTGATGTATATTTATGACAAAATGTTGGCATAATAACTTCAATCTCCTCCATGGAAAGTTTCATCCCATCCTTCAAGCTTTATATACATAAATTTAAACTATAAAATATACAGGAGAAGAAGATAATTTCTACAACAAAGACGTCTAAAAATTAAAAACAAAAGTGCATTATTAGTACCAAGGCTATGAAGCTGGGAATGTTTTTATAGTTTAACTCACCAATCATTATCCCCCTAGCTATATTTTGTATTTTTTACTTTGGAGGAGAGGTAGATTTATTTTCCTCTGAATCATGCTTTAGCGTAGCATCCCCTCCCATCAGTTCCTGAAAACCTTCAACCTTCACCGGTGGAGCCCTAACAGTGCCCATGCTCCTGCATCAATCAATCAAAACCACAAAATTTTCTCAGAATTCCATCAACTAATTTAAAATCCATTATAACAAGCAAGTAGGCCTTACGGTGTCTGGACTTGAGGAATTTGAAGGGAAGCCAATTGCCTAAATTGATTGCTGGATTGAGGATGGAAATTTGACATTGCAGCAATTTGCTGTTGGCGGAACTGCAGTTGGGGATGATGTCTGGCATTGATTGCAGTTAAGGCATTACTATCAATTGGAAATTCAGCCGGGTTTTCAAGCTTGACTTCCACCAGGGGTTTTATGTTATCCATGCCAGGGCGAGGTGTTGATGGTTGCCGTTGTCGTATTCTTTCCCACTGTTGCTGTTGCTGAAAAGCCAGATTTTGGGGATGAACCATCTGCTGCATCTGTGGACGCATTTGTCTTGGTATCTGTAGAGTCACCACCACCAGAGCAATCATTTTCATCATCTTACTGCTATCTTCCAAATTAAAAGCAACAAATTCCAAGACCCTAGTAAAAATCAGGAATATTATAAACTGTAAATGCAAACTGCATCAGTTTCACTCAATTTTTCATTCAACAGCATGATTCAGAACATTTTGGTGGGAAATCACATCAAACAGTAAGAATCGAATCGTGAATCACACGATTCTAACCACCACACAAACAACTACATGCACTATAGAACCAGAAGCAGAGCACTTCCCTATAGAAAGGCAAGAAAAGTAGATAGACATACTTGCTAGGGTTGTCGAAGGGGCGCCTGCTGCTGTGACTGTATCTGTGACTGGATAACCTGAATTTGTTGATGAGTTTGTTGTACAGAATTCCTCATACTATCCTTCACGAGCTCTCCTAAAGCCCCAAGATTACTAATGATGGAAGGGGAAAATACGTAATGATAGAAGGGGAAAATAGGTTAGATAATTGTGATGAGAGAAAGAGAGAGAGAGAAGCCAGATATATAACAACTTTCAAGTAATGACAGTTCATGAATCAAAACTCAACGAGAGAGACTAATGAAGTAAACATAGAAAGAGTCACAAAACAAATGATACATGTGAGCACATTATCATGCACATAAAGATGCCAAACATGCATAACATACCTAAAATAGCACAACATTGATTCCAATTTTCCATAGACAAAAATCATATATACCTAAATAAAGTAACATAGTTCACTATTTGATACCAGATTTGATAAAATTTAAACCAGACCAAGCCTGCCTACAACAGAATTCAAGGTCAACCCAAGAGGAATTCAAACAAATTGTTTCCTATATATACTGCATAAATAATTTTTTTCCACCAATATCCTACTTTAGAGTTCATTTCTACTTTATCATAAATTCAAAGCCAATAGTCTACTAAACAAATGTAAATAAAAAAAACCAATCAAATTCAAGCTTATAACATAAAAACAGCTTCACTCACCTATACCCCGCTGTTTGAAGGAACATCTTGAGTAGTTCGATGGCTGAGCACTGTTTTCTGTAACTATCAGAAAGGACTTTCAAGATACGGCCTAGCTTACCAATATGACAACTCAGCAACTGAGACAGGACTTCCATTGGGACTTCTGAAGAAGCTTCAAACCCCACATTTGTTAGCACACGAGCTATCACTTTTCTAGACATCTCTGATGCTTGCTCTTGACTGAGAAGTTTCCTGTTTCCATGAGATCCATTTTTTCCACGACATTGATTCCCTCCTTGTTCCATGCTCAGGTATTCTGGTCTAATACCAAGCCTCTCAATCATAATAGGGCTCCTGGTCATAATTTGGGGTAGCATATCAAGAACACCATTAAAATCCACTTTGTGGTTTTCTTCCGACAAATTGCTGTACTCTCTATCCAATGCAATTAGTACCATTCTGGGCCCACAACAATCACCCCCTCTAGTTCATAGAGAGAAAACCACCACGTAATATTGTAATTGAAGCTCATACCAGCCACTTTGTGCAGAACAAAAACTTCTCTTTAGGGACAACTTTAGTCATCATATCAAGTGATTTTCTCAACATGAATTTTACTTAACTTCATAATCCTTCTACTCTATCTTGATGACATTTAATAGCGGGACATGATGTGAAGATGATTAACAAGCTGAAACAGGAACTATCCAAGACAATTGACATGTAAGAGTTAGGAGATGCACGTAAACTATTAGGAATATAAATAATTTGTGACAGAAAAGCTAAGCAGTTGTGGTTGTCACGAGTGAAGTATATTGAATGGATGCTTGAAATGTTTAATATGAAAGATGCTAAACCTATAAGCACAATTATATATAACTCTTATCCTTATGAGACTAGGTGAAGAGTTTAAAATTTATCTTTATCATTATTTCTTAGTTTGGCTTGCAAGAAGAGCTACAAAGGTACAATTCTACCTATTCACCATCTAGAACATTATTAACACGAGTTAAGATCTGAATTTTAAAATTTATACTCTTCTGCATAGTTTTTGTAGCCAACAAGCTGGACAGGTGCCTGGCTCTCCTTAGCTGGACAGAGTAGAGGTATCAGGCCTATCTTCACATGATTCAGGCCTTAGAGGTTGTATCATGAGTGCTACAAAGTTAGGTATTATACTTCGGAGGGTGTATCATGGCATAACGTAGTTACATAGATGGTAGCTACGATATCTCTCAACGTGTCAAGTATTGGATCAACGACCCTCTATCTCTAAGATCAATTAAGGAGTTGCATGTTGGTCGAGCGATGCTCCTGGTCGCTCCTTGGCATACCCTATGGAAATGAGGTATGATGGTCCATGGTCGAACAAGGGCTCATTTGGGCGAATTGGGACTCGAGGGTGCCAAGCCACGGTGCTTGTTGTTGAGCAGACTATGGTTGAGTAGATGAGCTTGCCTCAGTCTATACCTTAGACTCTTCATATTTTGACTCATTCACCGAGTGCTTGGGCTTGCTAGAGCACCGAACGCACTAGAGAGCCGACCGACCCCACTCAGACTAGATATACAACCCCACTTGCAAAAAAATGATATTTGATATGTTAAGCATCAAAGATGCCAAGCATGAGTTAATACTATCACAAACAAAATGGAAGGCAACCTTTATTCAAGCTAAGCCCAGCAAGTACTCACTACACTCAAAGCTAGTAACTCGGCTTAATTAACAAGGAAATATTTTCTCAATTTTGTTTTTTTTAAAGATCTTTATTTAATTGTGACCTAAAATCACAAATACATAGCAATATTTTATCGAAGATCCCTAATAGGCCAGGGTGTAGATTTTGGGAAGATTGTAGTGTCCGGCACCATAATTCATTCCAAAATGCAATACTTCATCTATTTATTTGTTAATAATGGACCAAAATGCAATAATTCATTCCAAATCCAAACACCATGTGCACATGTAGGACCCACTATATTCAGAAAATAATGAGACCACCATTATTTTTGGAAAAGATTGGACCTACATGAACACACGATGCTTGCTGTGTGAATCCATGAAGGAGGAGAAAAAAATCTTGTCCAATTATATATTAACAATATTACAAAATACAAACTCAATTCTAAGAAATCAATCAAGTAGCTCAT